TTGAATTCCAACTGCCGGCTACAGTCCAAATTCCGATATTAGATGTTGCCCCATTCACACACAGGGCAAACAGTCAACTAGACAGAGAAAAAGCGGAATGGTTGAATGCGATTCATTGTAATCAAACCGAAGAAATGACAGACGCGTTTAGATTCCAACTTGAAATGTTTCACCAGCGTCGCGGTATGACCACATCGGAACGTCGTCACGCAACCGAATACGATATCGACCCTAATAATGGTCTGATAATGTAACAGGGAAATTTCTCGTTTTATTTATTTATCGTTATCTTTTGGGGGGAGGGAAATTAGAAAATTTTAAGATTAAGTTTATCGTAAGACTACTCCTATAGATCCATATTGCTCACACCGAAAATATAGTTTTTTACTATTCTTTACCTATGCCTTATGAATCTCAGTTCTTTAAAATAATTTAAATAAAAGAAATTATATGCTCGACGTAATCTTGCTCACACGTTGATTCTATTTGTCCCCTAATATATACGCTTGGAAGTAACCATTGATATTGTGTGTTAGCGAAAGCAAAGACGAAAGATATCGACCTAAATTGATCACGTAACTAGGGTGAAAAATAATTTTACTGTATGTCAATTATAACACAAGAGCCCTTTCCGATTAGATTACATTTCAAATCATGATATTCGTAATATTTAACTGTAGAATGTACATATTGCAAAGATTTAATTGTGTGCATTTAGAAAAGAAAGAATCTGATTGGTTTCATGTAATATTAGCAAGATCATCGGTTTTATTATTTAAAAAATTAATCCATCGTTATTGCAATCAACTCTCTGGAACAATCTCTCGGAATCTTCTTGTTCTTGCAAAAGAGCATAGATCTCTAAGCTTTTTGAAGTTTCATTGGCGCTAATGATTACGGGCTCAGCACTATCATCAGCTTCTTCATTGCTAGTATCGGTAAGTGGGTTCTTAATAATTCGATAAGCTCTTCATCGTCAGAAACTGCTTCTTCTTATTCTTGATGATTTAAAAATTCTTCAACTGACATACTGTCAGGAAGGTCGAGAGTTGTGAGTAACTGAGTAATCTCTCCTAATGTTGGCGTATGAGTCGTATACATGAATAAAGATTGCAAATCGAATTTAACAGTAATTCCCTTATTTAGTCAGTAAGTGACACAACTATAATATGTGTAAAATCACGGGCGTGCGTTTAGAGAGAGGAGGTTATTATTCGAAAAGAGCGTACAGTGCAGAATGTGGAGAGCTTATAGTGTGCATTTGTGGAGGGTAGACGCAATTGATCGCAGAAGTCACCAACAAAAGTTGGAGCATAAGAGTAGTTATTAAGTTTGGGCTTGCTTCGTACTATATATAGCCGGGACTCGATATGCATTACCGAGTTTGAGGCGTATATAGAAAACAATCAGACCTTTCAGCTGATAGGCGGGCGCAGATTCAGTTCGTGTAACTATTTGGGAAACAGTTATAAGGGCATGTCGTTTTGAACGTTCTTTCGGGCATGGAAAATTTTATCATGCAAGCGATTCTCCTGACAGTGATTCTACTACACAGAAAACCATTAGAGGTAAGAAATTATTTGATTGACAACAGAGGCTATAAAGAAATTTTATATGCTTATTGGTAAAAAGTAATACAATTGATCGATATTTTTATTCTAGTAGTGCAACGACAAGATGGTCTTGATTGGATAAATTAGACCTTACAGTTCAGCAGTTAAAGTGATAGTTATATCCTATTTGGAAAATCCATTATCACTTGCTAGATGCTCACATGACTCACATGACTGGTACGATATAGTGCATTCTTCTGACGTTAAGTCCATGTGGTTACTGAGTAGATATGGCAGAACTCACCGCATTATTTCACGCTGTAAGAATTGGTGGCTCGTTTATCACTCCCGATGTAGTCGAAAGTTTGTTTGCGCAGGAAGCTCATACTTCAGAGCTCAAAATAGCGTATAATTTGGGACCGCCCGATCTTCTAGCCCGTGGGCAAGCAATCTTTCCATCGACGTCTTTTCCCGGCTTCTCAAAGAGGATTATGACCGGTTTGGTGGAAACAATATCCCTATTCGCGGAAATGACATGGAATATTTCTACCATCTTTCAGCCGGACCACTAGAAATCACTCAAGCCATGTTTGAAATTCAAAAAAAAAAAACATGGATGAAATTAGAACGTTGATTCGAATTCATAAGTTCGCGCCATTTCCCTCAGGTCAAACACCTGTTTCAACCCCCAAAACTCGAATCTCGACCGGCATTTAAAAATCTATCCACCCCCAAGTCGAACATGAGATCGTCGATCGAGGTTTTTTTGCCGTAGCCGATCGTATTGGTTGAAACAGGTGGGTCAGGAATTCTCCGATGGCTACACAGACGTATTACAATCGAATATTATTGCAGATCTACTGGAAGGATATCATGACGTACTAACTGATGCTAATTCTTTATCCACGTGGTCAAAAGATTTTGCAAAATGTGATAATCTACAGAAAAAATTTTATAACAGTGATACACATAGCATACTATTCACAATAATATTCTAATAACACCTTTGATATTAAATATATGAGCATCACGCAAAGCCATTCTGACCAAGGAATCGATTGAAATTCTTGCGGTCAGATAAAGTATAAACACTGGGTGCTGCAAGCATTCAGTTGGCGAAACGAAAATTCTATTACTCAAAAAATGTGTGTATTAGAGAGAATATGTGTGATGTAATCTTTTTATACAATGTGTATTCAGCGTTAACAAATAACTGCTAGTTGATAAAAGCGTCAACTAATTAAAACACCTAATTTTCTTTTATTATTATTATGTTATTCACATTTGCTATTCATAAATAAATTCGCTTGTTCGGGTGTTTATTATATTATTGATATCATTATGAAGTGATATAATGGCTGTTTGATGAATGGGCCATATGCGTATAACCACATAGAACAAGGAAATATAACGTTAAGTAAAAAAATTGCTTGTTATACATATTTGGTATAGTCTACAAAATATCTGTTAGTGTGTTGAGAGGTTAAGCGATTTACAGTCGTATGCGTACTCAACAAACAACGACATATACGAATATATGGTAGCAAAATTTGGTGCTCAGTCTCGAGTCACCAGGTATTTGTACAAGTATACGATTGAATAATAATGGAACACAAAAGCACATTACTGTGTTTGTTATTTTATGATTATGATTGCTTATTTTGTAAATGTTATACTACATTACACATTCGTTTAATCATATGGAGGTAGTATTACTGTGGGGCAAAAGGATATCCGATTTGAGGACTTTATTATTTATCCGAAACCTTGCTTCCCTTACACTGAAGAATAAAGATTATCGTACATCACAGCAGCGATCAATTTAATAGAATTGCGTATCATTAATTAATAATTAAACATTCTTATCTTCATTAATAATCTGCATATTGCATTACGTTTTTTCGACAAATCATGAAGAGCATGTCGTTGATTAGAATGTGAGCATTCTCCTTATTCCCATTTCCTTCTAACAAAACTATGATGTTGCTCGGACGGCTTGCATTTGAATATTGTCATGAGGTTTGTTGCTATTTCCTTATCGACATGAGTTGGAAGAATGGGAGTTATTGACCGACAAAGTCTTGCTTTAATATTATTTGAACACAGACTAAACTATATCGATATGAGCGAAACACTCATAGCTTTCGTATGAAGCTTAAGGAATATTCTTGCTATTTGTCTGACAGAGCTGTTGCGTCTTGAAAGAAATATCGAAGAACATGTTTTACTTGACTCTATAATTGATGCATTTGAAATGAATACTCAACAAACAATGGTTATACGGATTTATGATGGCAAAATAACCTCGGATCGCTTAGGTAGTTGTTTACGATAAACATAGTCACAATTGAATAATAATGGCACATGTACAAACAAAGATTGCTTGCACTATATTAATAGTTTAGCCGTTATCTCCCCCTGACAATGGTATTGGTGGGATTTCGACGATCAATTAGTAAAACATATGAAAGTCTAATTTTTCGAAAATCTCTACTGACTGTTCTACTACAAACCTCTTGTATCGCCTTAAAGCGTATTATTGATAAAAGTAATAAAAAACTTATTGCTACAAAGTTGTACTTCTTTGTAGTGGGCTATATAGATTGCTATAAAATTATATATTTTCGTATTTGAATCAATTTCATCAAACGACAATCAATTAGCTTTAAGATGATGCAAAAGGTTTGGTATTTTTCTTAGTAGTCACGGTCCAATACCATTGTCAGGGGAATAACGTCATTTATGGCTAACCTCTTTGTATACGAATAATATTTCCTGTGACAAGTTTACAAACGATGACTTTTTTGCTCCCAATAATTTTGCACAGTTACCTATAGTTGCCCTTTGACACTATCAGAGATAAGACAACAAAATTTATTGGCGTTCCGATAAGATATCGGTTTGACAAGCATCAGGGAAAATATGCACAAACGCATGTGACAAATTTATATTGGTGCAAGCTCTGTGGCTTAGCAAGAAGCCTTTTGTACCTTTTTTTTTCCTCACCATTTACAGAACAATTACTTCTTTTCCTTTCAATCGGATTTTCTACTTTGTTGAAAGTATATATGAATCTTGAGTAACCAAACTATTTTTGAATAATGAGACAGTTTTCTGTTTGATAAGTGTCCAAGAAGCGCGTTCGAGCTCAGTGGTTAACATAATATCTCATTATTTCTGACAAAGACAGTATGTAAAATAACCTACATAGAATGGCATAATTTGCTTGGTAATACAAAAGATATATACCTAATACTGTTAATTAAGGAATAAAAACGAGGTTATAAACTAGCGACTTTTTGTATAATATTTTATCCATTGTGTATGTGCACGGTGCACAAACGAAAAAGGATTTTTTGTGTAAACAATGTTGGTATTTATGATTCAAAGTGTTGCTATCATTAACGATTATTGTTAATGCTCATCAGGCAGAATACCCGACATTATTATTTTACACTAATAAATTAGCAACAATGGCACTATATATCGCGTGAGGTCGACTGCGTAATTTTAAATATAGGATTCCGACAGGAATGGGACTGTATGTCAATGAGTTTCGGCTAAATGATTTAATTACTGGTTGCATAAAATAAACGTGGCGCTAAACTATTTTCCCTCCTTTTGTAACTAATGTAATTACCATTTTATGTGCAACAGTTGTTGCTCTAACAATATCGTAAGAATGGAATGTTCTTCTCACAGCAATACATTCTAAAAGGGGAGCATGGTCGCAGAAAACTAAGTAAAAAAACCAATTACTGTTACGGAAACGAAAAAGTCCCGCCAAAATATATTCCCAGTTACACTAATGCGAAACAAAAATATCCCTTTCAAAATTTGCCTAAAATAGTAATCGTAACACTTTTATTCACATATAAATACAGTTGTATTCGAGAAACATCGCAACCACCAAGTTCAAGGCAATGCTTGCTATTTATAATTTCCCCAATCATACGGGTAAGAGTAATGAGTTGTGTTCTAAATCAAAGCATAAAAACGGTTTTTAATCGACGTATTGAATCTTTAGATGCTTCCTTATCGACTGGCCAGCTTCCTCATTCTTTCCCTGACATTTGTTTGAATAATTTAGCGACAGAACTTCAAGTGGAAATTATTATCCACTTGAGAAATCCTACGTCGCTTTCCAGATGTTCTCGTTACTGGAACAAATTCGTAAATTCCCCTTCCACAAAAGCTATGTGGTTGATCGGCAGACATGGAAGAACGCATGCCTTATTTCATGCTGTA